TCATTATTTCTCACTCTATCAACTACTATTTCTAAAAACAAATATAAGAGAATAAAATATCATAATTGCAGTAAAAAAAATAGAAATGTAGGAATACATAGATGGTTAATTTCACAATTAATTGTCTTCATTTAGCACAATTGTTTTCAGACTTAGCACAATAGAAAAGTTATCCTTCAATTTGTTAGCATTACAAGGAGATTATACAAAAATAGTAATAAATGTTAGGATTAAAAGTGAAAATTATTAGCATAGATCACTAATGTTCAGGCACTACTACACTCTCGGTAATAATCAAGAATATTTTCGTGATATATATATATATATGTATATATAAGCTCAAAATGAAGATAAAACAAAGGAAAATTACAGACATATGAAAAAGGGGGGGGGGAAGAAAAATAATAATTTAAGAAAAATGACAAACAACTGGAAAAAAAGGATACATTTTTTTTTTAAAAATCAGGAAAATAAAAGATGTAATCTTTTCATCAGCCCACACGATTATATCCGCAAAACAGCAAAAAGAGTGCATATATATATATATGAGCAGAAGAGAAAATTTTTTAAATTGTTCAGTAATGTTCAGTTGAGCTATGATTCCAACAAAACTCAACTGTACTGTTTAAAATTTTTAAAAATGTATAAAATTTCCACAGTATTTTAATTTAGCTTAATACTTAATAAAGATTGTAGCAAATACGAACGATATTCTGACCCACTTGTTTCTATATATTTAACTGTACAGAGACTGGTTAAAAGTAAGAGCATTTTTCATCATTATTTAATTTTTCTAGTAACACAAAAGTATGAAAAATGTGGCTGATTACTACCTCAAAATAAATTCTACTTTTTTAAACGTATTTGTAAACTTCTTCTTCTATTACAAAACCTACTTAAAAAATAATTTGCCAAATATTCCAAATAAATTTCGATGACTACCTTATTTATTCCTCTCTGCCGGATATATTACAAAGTGTATCCTTTTCGTTGCACGAAATTTCTATATTTCAAATTTTCTTTTCAAGGAAGTAAGATTATTGAGATTAATGACTGTCATTTAATAATAAAATAGCAGCATATAGAATTAATCAAAATTATTATAGCGCATAAATGGAGCAGAATTTATTTGAAATTTAAATGGATTATTTGAAAGTATCATGAGGGTACTTTTAAATTTTATATTATTTATGTTCTAACATTTATTAATATAGTTATATCTTATTAATTAACATTGCTGAATAGATAATATAATTATTTATACTTCATTTAATTTCGTTGAAATTAAATTTTTTCATATGTTCAAGTTTATTTCTATGGTTCCTATCTTATTCCTTCGCAAAATATATAAAACTTGACTAAAATTGGTGACTAATCGTGAATCAAGTTAAATCTCAATTTTCGGATTTTATTATAAAAGCTTATTATGTTTTAGTAATATAAATTTTGTTAGCAAATGTAAAAGCAATTACCAATACAAAATAAAATATTTTTTCGATATTACCTAAAAGCTTAAGTATCATTCAGCTGAACTAAAATCACGTATACCAAATATTCATCCAACTACGTATTTAACAATAGTTTCATTTTAAAAGTATTTTTTAATTATTTTATCCCTTCAAAAATAGGCATTACATTTATAAGAAAAATATATATTTATTAAGTATCGAGAATTATGATTAAATTGAAATAGAGAAGTAAACAAAAGATACATGATTGTATTACAGAAGTTATTCAGGGAGCACTTTGCTTCCATTCCTGGTGGAACTATTTTGTTAATAACTGTTTATTTAATTGTCAGATTTTTATTTAGGAATATTATTTCATAAAAATTGCTTTGTTATAATTAAAATTTAAAATTTATGAGAACTCGAAAAGACATCACCTATTTTGTATTGCGGATGAATATACACTTTAACTACAAAACTATTTATTTTCCTTGTATAAATTTGAAAATTACTCGCACAAACTAGGTGTTTCGTAATGACAGCTATTAATATATATTTCTAGAATTCAGTAAAACATAAATCACACTATACACATTAGAGAAAGACGAATCATTATTGAGTTATCATTATTAAGGACATTATATAACAAAACAGATATTGAAGTTATCTAAATCTAGTTTATTTGAGAAAAAAGCCAGCAGATGATTCATAACAAAGCGTGAGCACATTCCAGTCTTACGAACCAAATAAACTTGTTTTTGATTATTTCAAACCCTCTTTTTCCATACCTGGCATTAAAAATAATTAGCAATAGTTTATTACATTTTTTTTCATTTTTTCCTATCTTGTTAATATAAGTTTTAGACTCCTGATATTTATAGGTGTATTACATCTTTTTTATTAGGATTTTAAGCATACATAATGAAGATGATTGCTAAGGAACATCATGTACTTACATATGCATTATAGTGTGTAAACAGGGCAGGAATAGCCTGGTTGGTAGGGAGTCGGGCACATGTCCAGAGGTCGTGAGTTCGATCGCTGCCGGCCGAAGACGCCTCGCGTAGTAAATGGTAACTGATACACGTTTAATCTGTCAGGACTCAAAGTCCTTCATGTTTCCGTAAAAAATCAATACCTCTGAGGTTACTGAATTAGAGATTGATCGTTTTCTGGTTCAGGTCAAAATGACAGTATGTGGATGAATAAATGAATGTATGAATGGGTCCTCCCTATAAATCGGCTGTGTTTGGCTGAAATCGTGTCGTTGGCCATAAAGGACACCACTGAAAATCAAGAAACGTACCCTCTGCCTTTCTTTAATTCGCCTGGTTTCACTTACCAGGCTATCTAGTATTAACAAGTGGGTTTAGAAATAGCAGTGTGTGAATTGTGTTCTTGTAGTAATGTCAAAATTAGTAATTTACGAACAATCCATGTATATTGATTAATGTATTATTTAAGCAGAAGTTCCGATTTATACATTTATAAATAAAATTTCTCTATAGGGAAAGTAACACCATGAAAAGCTTTAAAAAATAAATTCAGTTTTGCAGAATATGATTTGCAAAAATTCATGAAATAAGCACAC